GAAGTTGTAAATCTGGGCTGTAGTTACTCTGTGTAGCTAATTTCATGTATTTTATCTATGGCTGAAACAATCATATTAACAAATTATTTAAATAATCGTGAACTAATTTAGTAATTGATTAATCGTAAACTGGAGTATAGGGCCACTAAAATGTGCCTTTAGCCGACAGAGCGACCCACTTAGAGCAGGAATTATACCAAGATTGTAAAAAAAATATTAGCATTTAAGAAGTAAAAAAAAAAAAAAGTTTTTGTCTGTCAATATTCTCCATCCAGAACTCCTCCAAAGGAAACGTTTAAACGTTTCACCTGGTTTCATTTCATAAAAGATCTTCTTTAAGGAACCTTTGGCTATCTGATTAAAAGATAAAATAAAAGAAATCCTAATGTTTTTAACTTACATTTCTCAAGTTCCACAAATCAAAAAACTCTCTCCTGCTTCTTTACAGAACTCCAATCAGAAGCTTTCGCCTGTTTTAGCGTAGATAATATTTTTTTTTATTTGGACTAGTTTCGTAGCCCAAAATTAATTTATTTTAGCGTCTTTTTTTTTGCGCTCCAAGCACCCGCGCACATACAGACTAGAAAACACGCAATCAGAAAGAGAGAAGGCGGAACTTAAGGCAGAATAATCAGAGAGTTAAACCGCGCAGCACAGTTGATGCGCTGCTATGTGAAAGGGACAGGAAAGAGCAGGCAGCTGCAGCTACCAGGCAGAGAAGCTGCGAGAGGAAAAGAAGCGGCTGCTGTAGTAAATTAAAAACATGTTGTTTACATCCAATTATTGGTAGGGACAAATAGGTCCTTCCAAAATTTTGGTAGGGAAATGTCCCTATGGTCCCTATGCAAACCTACGCCCATGACACAAATTGTGTCTGCTTTAGAATTCTGTTTAACCATTTTATGGTGCAAAACAATCAAGAGCTTTTTTAGGAACAATGATATAGTAGAATGCAATACACCCTTTCCTGTTTTATTCATTTGCCAGTCAAATTACACCCTCCTGACTTTAATCCCTGTATTTAGGCAGATCTAATGTGTGCCTAAACTGCATCTGTCAAAAACAATCAACCTCAGGGAATATCAACAAAGAGCACAAAGGGTCCAAGGGTTACAGCAGAAAAGCCAGTTTGTAACACCCACGTTTTAACTTGGATCGGACCAAGTTGGCGTTCTCTCTGGTCTCCTTGTTCAGCAGCTCCAGCTCATCTTTACCTCCTAAAACAAACATCAAACAAATTTGCTTTAGGGATTTGCACATTTCTGTCTCTGCATGTTGTGTCTAAACTAAAGAAATAAGCTTCACTCACTTCTCTCTGTATGACAGCGCTATAGTTATCAGTAATTTTATAGACAACATAAAGGAATAGTCCATTCAGCTAAAATATAGCAATGAAAGGTTAAACATCTAAAAGCACTGGTTGCATAGATCTAAGAAACTGGAAGAATGGCTGTATTACCTTTTCCAGCTACAAGAACTATTATGTCTGTTTCTGTGGACCTCACTCTGTGCCCCTTCTCTAAACAAACAGAGCTCTGTTTGTCAAAGGTTGTTAAGCTTCTATCGTTTCTCATGCTCTAGTTGGCTCTTTGGGGATGTCTAAGATCTTAATAGATTTCTAAAAGTAATAGTAAAGTTATCAAGAAAGACTTGTGACACAATTCAAAAGTTTTACTTGATTTTCCCAAAAGTCTTACTCTTGCTGCTGTTTGAAGATGAGAGGATGCAGCTGTGTCTTCTTTCCATTTCCTCTGCTTGGCTGGAGATTTTTTCTATGAGGCTTCTTACTTCATCCACCTACACACGCGCACACCCACAAACAAACAAACAATAGCATTAGGCTACTTAAAATGTCATTACTGAAACATACAACTTACAAAGCTATGTGTCTGACAGGCTTATCTGTGTTTACACAAATAGTGTTATATAAATAAACCTGCCTTACGTGTTTTATCAAGTGTAATTACAACTGAACAGATCTTTTAGCATCAATAAAAATTTTGGCAAAAGGGCACCTTTTAAAAGATTGAATATAATACAGTTTTTGCAAAGGGATCACTCAGTTCAAGTAATCCCTTCGTTCAATAGTGGAAAAATGTTCATAATTACAAATAATATTTAGATTTCTTTCTATTCCTTTTGAAGTTTTAAATCTCATCTCCCTGTAACTGTTTTTAGTTATCTTGAACAGTGATATTATCTGCTACTCCAGTGGAAAGTTGTTCAGTCTGATTTCATTTGTTTTATTTTTCAGAATAACTTCTATCTTTGAGTCGAAACATTTTTTCAAGGCATTTTTTGTGTTTTATGTGTAATTATTAAAACTGTTATTTTTAACTTAAACCGTTTCAATAACGCAATTTAACCAATTCAATTACCAAGTTTAATTGCATATTTAATTGCATTTACAGCATATTCAAAAAAAGCACATATTAGCACCCTTAAAACAAGGGTGATGTTTGTCTTTACAGTGTTTTAATACAGCTTTTTAAATATATATCAGGTTGTTTTTATATATATATATATATATATATATATATATATATATATATATATATATATATATATATATATATATATATATATATATATATAAAGAGGTTTGCATTTATTAATCAACAGACTAATCTATTTGCTAAATAACCGTTAGATGCAGCCCTAAACTATTTAGCTGTGTTTTTTTCTCTATAGTATCTCACAAAACTGAATAAATCTTATTAGTTGTATTTTAAGAGTGTGGCAGATAACTGCTTTTCACACAGCCAGGTAACATTAAAAAACTATGTATTCCTACAGCTTTCTGGCTTTCCCATTCACAAATTTATGATTTCTTGTGACATTTTCCTGACATCCATGCAGTTTTCCTGCATATGTAAACTGAAAAATGAAAATAGAGAGGGGGAAAAAAGGCAAAAGAGGTCATTTCTGTAAAATAACTCTCGTATTAAGACTAATGTGCAGAGGGAAGTCTGTTTTTAATTTAAATACATTTTTGCAGCTTCTGCTTCCATGTTTTGGTTTCCCCTTTAAATGTAACTTACCGTTTTTAAAAAATCATCCATGTCTTCCGCTTTCTTCATTGAATTGCTCATATTGAACATTTCCTATAAGTAAAAAAAAAAAGCAAAATGTATGTTTTCAGAAATGTTTTAGCTTTAAAAAGAGCGTTCCGTCAAGGTGAACCGCTGTCCACACAGAACTACCGTCTCTATTAAACTTTGTTAACTGATTTTAAGTAGCTTTTACCTGCTTTCCTCTGGTATTTACTACGGTAACAAAAACAACAAACTATAAATGTGAAAGTCTATATATTCAGGTCGGTATAGGTGAGAGATCCACTTTACCTGCAGTCGTCCTGTGCTCCTGACGGATGAGGTCATTGTACGCACCTGTGAAGGGCGTGGGCACGCACGCGCGCTCCCGTGCAGCCAAACAAACAAAGGGTGCGCCTACACCGCCTGGCTGTTTGAAAGCTTTTAGAATATTAAAAACAAATCTATAAATTCGTATCGCTAAGAATTATGGTACGTTTAAAAAAGCAAAAATGACCCACAAAAGACCTTCGTTACTCGCCTTCGGGTGTTTTAATTAAAACGAAAGTTCCCGTTTTTTTTTTTTTTTTGTTTATTTTGATTGGTCAGCATAGGCACACAAAGGGCGACACATCCACCAATAAGAGGACGGCAGGTGAGACGCATGGGTACGCTCCTTACCGATCACCTGGTGATTGACCTGGATATGCTGATCATCAAAGTGTGAAAAAGGAGTTTCCACATTAAGTATTGAAAATGTACGGGTTTTTATTTTGATGTGGAGTTATGGAACTTATCCAGGATATGAGCAGCTGGCACCCACACAGAACGATTATTTTCATAACAGTCAAATGCCAAAAAAGACACTTAGTGTTTCCATGAAAGGAAAAATTCCCATATATTAATACAAATTTGACTGATTGCAAGCAAACATCCAAGCATTATATCATAATTGTGGTGGTAATCTTATTTTTGGATCAATGGGAAATAAGAAATAAGAAAACCTGCTTTGGGTAGTAGTGACAGTGTAAGTGCTCCAAAAATGTTTGCGTTTAAGAAAAGAGAACAGTTGTGATGTGACAAAAGTTTAAAACACTGTGGCTTAAACCCACACTTGATTCATTGAAATAGATCAGAACAGGCCTTCATTAGGTCTTTTTAGGTGGTTGTAGAAATATACAGAAGCCAACACATAGACTACTTCACTAATACAAACCTGTAAAGTGGGGAGAAAATGAGAACATGTTCAATAGCCCAGCAGAGCAGCAAAACAAAAAGCTGTGAGGCTTCAGCATAAGTCTGAACTGTTCAGAAACTATTTGGAATTAGGAAAACAGATTAAGTGGTGCTTTAGACTATCTATTGGTAGCATATCTATTAGGACGCAAGGTCAACTGTTTTTTCAATAGCACATTTACAACAACAGTGCTGCCTAAAGTGCTTCACAACAAAGATATAAAAGCAAGGAATACGATATAAACAAGGGATAATAAAACTACAATGTCAAGAAAAGAGAAACCAAAAAGCAGCAGCAAAGGTCTGTCTCCTCTGGTTTTCATGTCCATTTAGGGGTCATCCAGGAGGATGTGCAGTGTGAGATATATATATATATATATATATATATATATATATATATATATATATATATATATATATATATATATATCACAGGTAGAGAGAGAGTACTCTCCTTAACTTGCCTTTAGGCTGATAAATTCTCCATTTATGATAATAATTTGTAAGTCAGTTGGGAGTTGAATTCTTAGCTGAATTTTGTGTGAATGATGCAAAGTGACACGTCTTGCACATGTGAAATGTGCTGTAAAAGGCAAATGGTTAGGGTCCTTGTCTTTCATTAGACAAAATAAAACACTATAACATGATTTTGATGCAGTTTATTTCAACATTGAATGCCTCAGATTCTTCTAGATGAATGGAGCCTTTGGTGTCACTTCCTGCTCTGCGCTGTGACACAAACATTGCTTATTTAATGAGACACTGGAAAACAAAATACAATATACTGTCTGATTCAGTGACCCCACTACTCACCTGGGGTCGGCGCATGGGAAGGGGCCTCCGCGTCTCCGTCAATGCTTGAAATTAGGATGCCACGATATGCTCTTTCTTTCAAGCAGTAATGGATAAACCTTGAAGAGAAAAGGTGGCATGAAATACATATTAGACTAATATTTGCTAACTGGTTTCATTAAATCAAATTTCAGAATCATACTTTTTCCACACTGGATCCGTTTCCAGGGCTCTGGGGTCTCCCAACACAATCAGTAGGTTTCTGGCTCTAGTCATTGCCACGTTGAACCTCTGAGGAAATGTAGTGTCCATTAAACTTAAAGTATTTGAGACAGTAGCTTTAACATAAATTGGCATTCTAGTGATAAAGATGTGTAGAAGGCCTTTAAATAAATGCTTCTTTATTACAGTGGTGTAGTAGAGCTCTGGAAATGTATTTTACATTCCTCGTTTTTATCCCTTACAGTCCTTTTCAAAGTTCTTTAAGGTAAAAAATATATAGATCTTTATCCATTCTTCTGTTTCCGTGTCGGTTCTTTTAGAAAGTAATTTCCATTTTTTTGTACAATGTAAAAGCTGTGTGTAGTGATTGATTCAGGTCTGAACCTACATATTAAAACTAGACATACTATTAAAAATGCATGGTTCTACACAGTATTTGTACCAGGACTTTGACAATATCGTTTTCTAAAAAACGAATTTAGAGAAAAAAGAAACTCATCCAAAGTCGCACCTTCTCATCTTTCACGAAGCCCAAGCTAAAGTTTTGCTCAGCTGCATCCAGTCTGGGAGTGCTGTGCACTGTTGACACCAAGATAACATCACGCTCTTGGCCCTGAAACATCTCGACTGTGCCAACCTGTGGAAACAAGCAACAAATGCATGACTTATTTGATATATTTACTAAAATGTAATAAATCCTGACAGGGGTCATACTAGGATGTTTTCCACGTCAGTTTGGACTAGGTCCTTGTCTGTGCGAAGGGCTGCTTTGATTTTCTGTTCCTGTCAGCAAATACAGAAGAATAATGAGCTTTGGCAAAATCTTAGACAACTAAAAACAAACATATGATCTTAATACTTACTTGTTTTTTGTATGGAGAAATAATGCCAATTTCTTTCGGTTCAATCGTCTTCAGGCCCTTTTTGTGGCGAAAGCTGATCAGAGATTTCAAGTATTCCTTCAAAATATCCACCTCAAACATATTGTAAGAAGATGGGCTGGGGAAATCGTGTTTTTTCCTGCCTGCCACCCCATGGAAGATCACAGGAAAATTCTGATTCCAAGGGAAGCAAAATGAGGTTACAGGTTAAGGGAAAGTGAGAGTTGTGCAGTATATGGTCTGTGTTGGTCCTAGTTACCTTCCTAGGCAGCAGTTCCCAGTCATTGTACAAGGATTTCTCAAGGTGACCACAGGGTTGGAGTTCGGCATCATAGAATAACTCATTGGGAATTTTCAGAATGGCAGGATGAGATCTATATAAAAGGAAAACATGTAGGATTTTTAATCAGCATTGAGGATAATTAGGCTTTATAAGGTTAGAGAAAAAGCATTTTCAGCTCTATGCCACATTTCAATACTGTTTGCTGTGGGATGGTTTATACCAAAAACTCATTGATACCTTAAAATCCTTTCATACCAATCCTTGACAACTATTGATTTAAAGTCATTTTTTATAATCCTAACATTTTTATTGCAAATGAAGCTTGTATTACTATAAAATATATTTTCCAGAACATGATGTTCAAAATTATTTTGGTTTGTAAAAGTCATAATGAGCCATATCCAAAACAGTTTAATGGTCCAAGAGGGAATCAGAGCAAAAACAACTGAAAACTTTGGAATAGAAAATCTTTATAAAAAAATAAAGAAATAAATTATTTAAATTTAAGTCACATCGCAATAATTCTTATGAAATAAAGTTACTAATACAGAAAATTGTATTTGTAGTTTATAAATGGAATAGCAATAAACGGTTCAAAATGGCAAAGAGGTGACGTTCTTCCCGTAAAAACTCTCACCTGTAGTTCTTCAGCAGTTTAGTAACAAAGCAGCTGTTGTAGCCGTTTGTCTTGTCCGGTCTGTACAGTTCTACTTCTGTCATCAGCCTCGTCAGGAAGGAGACCCCTGCAAAGAGAGACAACTTGTATTGTATTTAATACACACAAAACTCAGTCTTTAGAAAATACATACAAATATATTTGCCTGATATGACAGGCAAAAACAGAGCTTACAGACAAAGTGTCGGATATTATCAGTTTTTTTTTCTATTTGTTTAGGTACCATGATTCTCTAACTGATAGGACAAAATAGTTTTTTTTATCCAGAAATCATCCATCCATCCATCCATCCATCCATCCATCCATCCATCCATCCATCCATCCATCCATCCATCCATCCATCCATCCATCCATCCATCCATCCATCCATCCATCCATCCATCCATCCATCCATCTCCCTAAAACTAGATACCATGAGCACCTTTTAATGGTTATTTGTAGGTCAACTAGTCTTTGTGTTTATTTAATTCACAAAATGTTATAATATGGACATTTTTAACTGTTGCATTTGGTCAAAATGTAGCTGTAACCCAAAAACTGAAAGTCAGCCCATTTGTTCATCCTGGACTTTGACCACAGATATTCTTTCATATTTCATCCAAGCTAGAAGCCACGCTGTAAAAACATCTACAAATGATTGTTAATACTGTACAATATCTGTACAGGCTGATCGAGAAGACAAGCTCTGTGATTTGATGCCCTCTGGACTCAGTACCAGAGGTGGAAAACAAAATGATCCTAACTTAATTAACATCTCTGTTGGATAATGTCTCCCACATCATGCATGAAGCAGTTGCAGAACTGGAGAGCTCCTACAGCGACATAGCCTGGGTGCCATTCCGAACTTAGTCCCGCCCACAAAGTTTGAGGTCGGGGAAGTTCGGTCTGGCTCTGCTCCATAGTAGCGCGAGTATTATCGCCCACTGTCAGGCGATCCAATCAAATTGTCAGGGCGGGCTTTATACGATGATGGACAGATGACCAACAGTAACGTAATCAACCACGTGACCAATGCGCGCTTGGGTGACAACAATAATGGCTGCCGCTAGAGAGTTTCGGTGAGTAGATTCTGCTATTAGGTCTGTTCTAGAAGATATCGACAGCAAATTAATTTTAAAAGAGGAACAGAGAAACGCGATCAAGTCTCAACATCTTATTATAGGCGTGCAACTGCACGCTTTGATTTTTGTGGACAACAACTATGCCTCGCTTAACATACGTCATGCACTCCGTTGCTCTTATTGGTTGTAGATCTATCCAATTGAGTGCAGAGGCATTTTTTTTCCTGGTTCGTTCGAAACACGCCCCATAATCACAGCTCTATGGAGCAGTATCAGACTCATATTCTGACTAGAATTGAGTCGGACTACGTCAGGCTAACAGCGACAGACTGCTGCACGCTAAATGCCCAAGTAAGAGTTATCACAGATCCTTCCTCTGAGCAGCTGTAAGACTCTATAACCACCACTGTTTCCAAAAACCTCAATAAGTTGTTACATTCAGGCTGATTTTGTACAGTTTATTAGTCAGTTAAATAACATGCTTCTGTCTTTTGCACATATCTGATGTTGCTGCTATTTTCAGATACCCACTACTGTAAAAATGTCCACAGCTCTATATTGGTTATTTATTCTCCAGGTGCACAGATTTATATTGTTAAAACACTTTACAGTACAGTATTTTATTGTTTATCTTTTAACTCTTCACTAGTATGTTATTCTTTAAACATTTTTCTAAGGTCCACATATGTGTGACCATTTTTTCTATAATCTTTTTGATGCTGTAAACAACTGAATTTCCCTATTTTAAAACAATAAAGGGATTTTCTATTCTATTCAATATCCAACTGCAGCAGCATAAAACATCCGCATCAAAAATGCTATGAATATTGTAGGATTCTGAAATGAATAAAGTTGCAAACAACTGAATAAGTTGCTTGTTTAAAAATGTAAAGGTAATTTTTAGTAATCACTAATTAAGAAGTAATTATTGCAGACATAAACGCTCTAATCATTTTATTTTCAAAACTGGCTTTTGGGAGTAAACTTTATTCTGTTTCAGCCCATAAGTATAATAGTCTTTTTAAACCTAGGAGATTAAGAGGTCAGAGTCAGGTAGCTTAAACAAATGGAAAAATAAATCCATTCTAAAAAATTCTCAGATACAGATAAGAAGTGAGCAGAGTGGCTTAATGCAGAGTAAAGTACTTAAGGACTTCCAGAAAGCATTACAAACTATATCCAAGAATTCAAAGCAGTTAACAGATAACTTACTTGCAACATATCAACAAACTACAGCTGACTCAAAACTTTAAGCTGCTTATTGTCATGCATGTTTATCTTTAGTGATTGTGCTTTTAGAAATACACCTATTTAGCAACACCTAGACTTCCTCCTATCCCCATCACAACACTTGAATAATAAGCAGTGAGAATAAAACAAATAAGATAATAAGCTTTCTTCTTCTTAAAGACAGGACAGAAAACAGAAAACTTTCATAAAATGATTTGAATACACGCATTATGCATAATGTACTATGTGCATTACCTAAAAATATACATCAATCCACTAAATTCAAGCTAAGTATGTTGCTTAATGAATGCAAGATACTAGAGTTCTAGATGGCATCAGTACAGAGGCTCCTGAAGGTCTATGTAGATAGACTGTGTGCGATACATGTTTAATCTAAGCCTGAAGCTGGGGAATGCACCACATCTGTGGACTACCTCCTGTGTGGTACCAGTAGGCCCCACATCTGACTGACCAAAGCAGCTACAAGCACTGATCTTGCAATTGAAGAAGACCCACAACAGGTTGGTACGTAACCATCCTCGCACATGGTGAGGTCTGCATTAGGTCCGCTGCAATGTACCTACCAGCCTGCAATGTGCAAACTCAAAGTGTTTAAATCGCTGCTTTTTGACTTTTCTTCATTCTTTTTAAAGTCCGATGGTGTTTTTCATGGATTACTACCAACAGCTTTTGCTTATTCTTTTTTTAAATCTCTTTTTTCCATAACTGTACTGCATTTTGTTCTTATGTTGTAAACTTCCTCTTACTACTTGGTCACTTGTTCCAAATTAATATTAATATTATTTACTCTTGTGTAAATCTGCATGCTTCCATATGGCTGTAACTTTGCTGTTGGTTAATCTGAATTTTCCACTGTTAAAAAAACAGGCTATTTCTCTTTTATTTTATTTTCTGATACAGATTATTTATTATTCAGGCACACTTTTTTCATAGAATAGTTCACTCATTTAATTAAATTTTCCTTTGGTTAATAGCATTTGGAAAAACTTAAATTTAAAACAATTAAATTTGATTGAAGATTGATAACCAACATATAAATTATCAGAACTTGCACAGCAGTGCTGAAAACCAATAAATAAAACCCAGTCTGGGTCAATAAAACATTCAAAAAGCAGCATGTTTTACGATATGTCTTAAAACTTTCACACACTGACAAACACTGTTTGCATGGTGCTTACCCAGGCCAAATCTTTCTGCGATAGTTGAGATGATGACGGGGCCTAACTGTTTCGGGTCTCCAGCCAGAACTACTTGGCCTGTTTTTGGTTTCAGCAATCCTGTAGGAATCCATTAAAGGCACATCTAATGAAATGTATCATTAATGGGACATTTTAAACAAAAAATAAACAGAAACTCACCAGCTATTGGAATCAAACATTCTAGTTCTTTAGCCTGGCCCGCCTCATCCACAATGATGTAACTGTAATAGCCTGGAGGAACCCCAGCTGTCACTAGCCTGTAAAAAAGAGGAAGTATATATTTTTACATTCTGTAATTTAAGGTTAATCATTAGACAGATTGCCATATGGGTGTTTCATTTATTGCTCTTAAGCAATTTCAAACTCTAATCAAAGCTTCAAGCCTGCTGCAAATTTAGTAAAACTTTATAAAATTAGTTTAAATTAAAAAATAAAAATAAAAAAAAGGTGCCACCATCAAACAAGAATTTGCTCCAAAGGAGAGAGTTTTCCAAGAAAACACTGCCACGTTCCTTTAACAAACATGGCTCAGGGTGTCAATCAAGGTTTATCCTGACAAAACATGCTTTTTCTTGCCTGTTTCTGGTCTAAAATTTGTCAGCCACACTACCAGTGAACAGCTGCCATTGTAACACATGTGGTTAAAGTGGTTAAACTGAATCAGTGCTGTACAGAGACATAACATTTTTATTATGAAGACCTTTTCAAACTAATGAAATGCTACAAAATTAGTGCCTCTTCATCAGATTGCCTAGTATTAATTCTGACAAAATATTGTAATGAGTTTTTATCGGCTGATTCTTGTTCTGAAATTACATGATTGGTTTTGGGACATTATGGCATTCCTTACAAAAAAAAATTAGTGTACCTTCCAGCAGATTGAAGGGTGGTCACCATGATCTTGTAACTCATCAGCTCCTCTTTGGTCGGTATTTCAAAATAGTTTTCTGTACCATCAAAGCTGCAGTGTTCCTGTTGTTAAAAGACGGGGCACATTATGCACGAAAAGAGGAATGTTATTTTTCCCAGCTAGATTTTAAACATCTCTGTTTACATTTCATTTGTTCATCTTCATTTGAGTTGCCATAACAAAACTAAAAGAGGCATAATCCAAACCTTCACGCTTTCCGGGATCTTATTTGCGTTGTAGCTTAAGGAGTACAGGCGAAACACTTGGCGGGGGACAATGTTTTCTTCTAGGATCTTCTTACAGAGGTGGTCCGTTACGCTGTTGGATGGTGCACAAACTAGGATGTTGCAGTCTTGTGTTTTCACTATCTGCTTGATGACTTCAACCAAGGTTACTGATTTGCCTGAGGCATGGGTGAGAGAAAACTATATTCAATTTACCGCAGGGCTGGGTGGCCTTAGCATGTAAAAACTTGTACTGTACCTGTGCCTGGTGGACCAAATATCAGGTAAGGAGCAGGTTTTGCAGAACGGGCCAGTATGTGTTCAACAGCTCTGCACTGCTCTGGGTTGCTTTCAAGCACTGGTGTCCTGGAGATGGGAGATTGGACTGTATTTACTCCATTGATAACTGGCATTGATTGTAGCGATGGTGTGGATTTTACTGCATGCCCACCTTATTAATTTGGGGATTGGAGGTGCGAGACATGAATGTTGTGTAGGGAAGACTAGATCCCTCAGCTGATGTTTGCGTACTAAATCTGCTGCTCTGTGCTGAATCCGCAGTGGCATTCGATGGAGTAAAAACACAAGGCTGCAGGCCACTTCATTTTGAAAATCTTCTGGGAGGCTGAATTATAATAACAAAGCAACATATTTAGCAATAAAAAACAAACATAACAAACTTCAATTGAAATTGAAGATGCATGTTTTACATTTTAGACAGAATTTTCCTACATCTATATACAGCAAAGAAGTTTCTGCGTAGCATGATGCACTGATTACTGAACCTAGATGACAATATAAACATACTGTAATGTAAACATCTACACAACTTCTTCTTAACTGTGTATTTACCTCGATCTCCTGTAAGCCTATTTGCTTCCTGCCTCTCTCTAACAAACCAACTGTCTACTCCACAGAACTGCATTAATAATGTTTTCATTTTTCTGTTTTAGTTTCTGCTTTTTTGAAGCAATTTCTGAAGTTTATCTTAGTCAACCGTAATAATGTAGTGAGTAACAGCAATAAAATTATGTACTTTTTGTACTGCTATTCTGTTATTTTGTTATTTTGTACTGTTATTCTGTTATTTTGAACTGTTATTTATCAAACTTTTATGATTTCCACAGAAAAATAGTCACATTACTTTTTTTCAAGTAAAAGCAGTAGAAAATAGATACTAACAAACTTCCGATTTTTTTTTGTAGAAGACTTTTTAAACGATAAATAATATGTCTTCTCTTCCACAAACATAATTTGAGACAGCTGGCCTAAATAAAGCCAATTTTTTCAAGGCAACAGTTTGAAACGGTAATCCATGCCTGGATTATTGCAATGGCCTCTATTTAAGGGTTAGTTCCTCCTCCATCTCCCATCTGCCGCACGCAGTTTGATAACTGCAGCACGCCTTTTAACTGGCACACACAAGTATGAACACATCTCACCCATTTTAGCCTCACCCCACTGGCTGCTCATCCATTTTAGAATTCATTTTATAATTCTTTTATTTGCTTTTAAATCCTTGACTGGTTTTACCCCACCATAGCTCTCTCAGGTCAGCTGGACAGCTGCTCTTGAGAGACCTTGAAACTAAGCAGAAGACCAGAGGCAACCACGTTTTCACTGTTGCAGCTCCAAACCTCTGGAATGACCTGCCTCAGCGCATCAGACAGACCTCTTATCTAACTGTTTTTAAATCTCTTGTCAAAACTTTTAACTCCTAGCCAGACAGGGCTTTATTTTTTTATTTATCTTTTACACAATTTTATTGATTTAAAGGTGAACGCCGTTTTTTTTTTTTACATTTGGCCCTTGATTTTACATTATCAAATCATGTTCTACTCACCCGTATGAGTTTTGTGTCATTTGGAGCTGTTCTGAAGATATTCCGTTAGGTTATATCCAAATAATGTCTTCCTATGGGCAAACGACTTAAAGGCACAAACTAAACTGTTCATAATTTATTCTTTATGGTACGCCAGCATTCATAACATGTAGGCTAAGCACTGTCCCCCAGACATCCGCGGTCATATTTTTTAAATTTATAGCTTTTAAAAACAAAGTGGTGCGGGTATGATGTCATCTGTGCGCCGGACTTCAAAAAAAAAAACGTTATTTAACCAATGTACATTACAACAGGCACGCTCTACCCCTTCTATTCATTCGGGGAGCTAATCTAAATCGTTCAATTCCATTTCGAGAGCGAGATTATCTGTGGTATTAGCACTAGACATCTTCCAAGCATGTAAGTAAAACTAGCAGCAGTTGAGCAGACAGGATGAATGAACGGTAGCCGGCGCGCACGGATGACGTCATACACACGGCGCTTTGTTTTTTTAAAAATAGAAATATAAAAATATGAGCGCTGATGTCTGGGGGACAGTGCTTTGCCTAAATGTTATAAATGCTGGGGTACCATAAAGAATAAATTATGAACAGTTTAGTTTGTGCCTTCAAGTCGTTGCCCATAGGAAGACGTTACTTGGATATAACCTTACGGAATATCTTCAGAACGGCTCCGAATGACACAACACTCATATGGGTGAGTAGAACATGATGTACCGGTAATAACGTAAAATCAAGGGCCAAATGTTAAAAAAACACGTTCCCCTTTAATTGTGTGAATGTTATTTTTACCCACATTTTAGCTGTTTTGGTTTTATCTGTTTTTTTTTTTTTTTGTACAGCTCTTTGTTCAGCTGTGGTTGTTTTTCTTTTAGTGCTAAACAAATAAAATTATATTGGATAATTTACACTAGGATATTGGTTTAACATGGCAAGATATTTAAAATATTCTCTTTTAGGGCGTGTAGAAACTTTTTCAAGACACTCAATAAGTAACTCCTTACTTTATTCCAAATGTTGATAAATATTGATAGAACATCTTGTCCAAATTTCATTCTGCCTTTAAAATGATTGATGGGTATCTGCTTTTGTTGATGTTCTACATGTAAAAATTTACACCAACAGAGAAAAATCTTTTCTAATTATTTTTAACAAATTGATAGCAGATGGAGACTAAGTTAATATTGCCAAAATGGACAAGACAAAAAGAAAATCGTTGATTCTTTTCAAATGAATTGTGTCTTACTCTTCATAAATTCTTAAGTAGATTTGTTCCTCATCCACATCATCGACCCATCCTTTGTAGAAAACCTTGTCCATCTTCTGCTTCAAAGGAGTCACCTCAACTATACATCCAGTCAGCACTGTCAGAGACTTGTTCAAGAAATGTTCTGCCTGAAGTTCAAGTAACATTAGCAAAAAGTCATATTTTCCACATAAAAAGAGTTTGAAGGTTGAAATAACTTTGTGTCTTAGTGAAAGGTGTTACCTTTACAACCAACACGTTCTTGTCCATTTCGTAAAAGGTGAGAGGCACTTTATTCAGGCTGCATTGGTGAATGTCTTTCCTGATCTTGTACTCCTCGAGATGAAGCAGTAGATGAAATCTCCTGCTGTAGTTCCCCCAGTTGAGGGGATTTGACCTCAAAATCCTGAAAAATCCCAATGGTATAAAGATGACCACATCCCAAATGCTTACATTATACATTTAGAAAAATGTACAGTAAGCAACACTTTTTACAATCAGCAAAGATGTATTGTAATCTGATCACCCTGATGTATAGACATTTATTTATTTACAATTTACAGGGGGAAAAAAACGCTATAATTTGATGATTACACATACGTACTCTTGTATTTCTTTATTTTCTCGAAAGTTCTTGGTCATGGGGTATTTCTTGAGATGCACCACCGGTGTAGCAAAGTTCTCACCGCTAAAGAAGTGGACGACAAACAAATTAATTTTGGACATGAGTTGATCCACATAACAAAGGTGGAAAAACAGAAAAAAGTTATCTGGTTACCGAGTAAAAGGTCTCCTGTTTGCAGTCTGAAACCTCTTCATAACCTCTGAGCCATGAAGACAGTCCTTCTCACTCTGAGCTATTTGAAATTCAACCTCCAAGAGGCGCATAATCTCGAAAAATTCTGGATGGTCATAGCCTCTCTTAAATTTAAAAACCAGGATTTGCTCATAGAAGCCAGGGTGGTCAGAGGTGAAATTGATTTTGATCTCGTATGAGTCACCTGGAACCAGAACATAAAGTATTTAAGACAAAATATTTTTTCCTTGTATTAGCTTTCCGTAAAAATTCAAAAAATCCACTGGACTTGGTTTTCAAGATTTGAAGACGTTTCGCCACCTCTCCAGGAAGCTTTCTCAATTCAAATGTCTGGATCCGCAGTGAGTTTGAGTCTTATATAGACAACGCCTTGTATCGCTTGGAAACATGCAATGGTAACCGATGAATGGGTCGTTAGTTCCATCGTTAGCCTGTAATATCTGAACCAGTCTATGATTCTAGGGGTCGGTCGTTAAAGGGGGGGATTGCCATTAAGGGGGGGATTGTCTCCTGTAATACCTGTCTATGATTGTTAAGGGTTGGTCGTTAAGGAGGTATTGTTCACCGGCTGGGGCGGGTAGGTCCCTCGTTCCTCTGTGATGGGGTGGGGGGTTTGGTGATATCTGGAAGGGATCATGTCTATGATGAATTGTATGTTTTTGGAAGCTGGAATCTGAGTCCACCACCTCTGTTTAAAGTTGGTTTTTCTCTCTTAACATAGATGGCTTCCTTCACGCCCCTCTCAAACCACCTATTTTCTTTATCCAGAATATGGACATTCTGGTCCTCAAAAGAATGTCCTTTGTCCATAAGGTGTAGGTGTACTGCGGAGTCTTGTCCAGAGGCGGCCGCTCTTCTGTGTTGGGCCATGCGTCTGTGGAGAGGTTGTTTTGTTTCGCCAATATAAAGATCAGAGCATTCCTCGCTGCACTGAACAGCATATACTACTCCGCTCATATTCGGTCTGGGGGTTTTATCTTTAGGGTGCACTAGCCTCTGTTTAAGGGTTTGGTTTGGCTTGAAATGTACTGGGATCTTGTGTTTGGAGAAAATCCTCTTGAGCTTTTCAGACACTCCAGCAACATAAGGGATTGTGATGTTTTTGCGTTTAATTTTCCCATCGCTGTCTTCTGTTGCGTGTCTTTTGGATTTCCTTGCTGATTTGATAAAAGCCCAGTTTGGATATCCACAGTTTCGGAGAGCATCTTTGATGTGTTTCTGTTCTTTTTGTTTCCCATCTGTTTTAGTAGGGACATGTTCTGCCCGGTGTTGTAAGGTTCTGATGACTGAGAGTTTGTGTTCCAGTGGGTGGTGTGAGTCAAAAAGAAGATACTGGTCTGTGTGAGTAGGTTTCCTATACACTTCAATGTTTAGGCTTCCATCTCCTTCCATGCTCACCAGGCAGTCCAGAAAGGGTAGTTTGTTGTCCTTGGCATCCTCTCTGGTGAATTTGATGTTACGGTCAACAGAGTTGATGTGTTTGTTGAAAGCTTCCACTTCCTCTAGTTGGATTTTGACGAAAGTGTCATCCACGCATCTAAACCAGTGGCTTGGTGGTATTCCATTGAAAGTGTCTAAAGCTCTCTTTTCCATTTCTTCCATGTAAAGATTGGCTACAATTGGTGATACTGGAGATCCCATTGCGCACCAATTGTAGCCAATCTTTACATGGAAGAAATGGAAAAGAGAGCTTTAGACACTTTCAATGGAATACCACCAAGCCACTGGTTTAGATACGTGGATGACACTTTCGTCAAAATCCAACTAGAGGAAGTGGAAGCTTTCAACAAACACATCAACTCTGTTGACCGTAACATCAAATTCACCAGAGAGGATGCCAAGGACAACAAACTACCCTTTCTGGACTGCCTGGTGAGCATGGAAGGAGATGGAAGCCTAAACATTGAAGTGTATAGGAAACCTACTCACACAGACCAGTATCTTCTTTTTGACTCACACCACCCACTGGAACACAAACTCTCAGTCATCAGAACCTTACAACACCGGGCAGAACATGTCCCTACTAAAACAGATGGGAAACAAAAAGAACAGAAACACATCAAAGATGCTCTCCGAAACTGTGGATATCCAAACTGGGCTTTTATCAAATCAGCAAGGAAATCCAAAAGACACGCAACAGAAGACAGCGATGGGAAAATTATACGCAAAAACATCACAATCCCTTATGTTGCTGGAGTGTCTGAAAAGCTCAAGAGGATTTTCTCCAAACACAAGATCCCAGTACATTTCAAGCCAAACCAAACCCTTAAACAGAGGCTAGTGCACCCTAAAGATAAAACCCCCAGACCGAATATGAGCGGAGTAGTATATGCTGTACAGTGCAGCGAGGAATGCTCTGATCTTTATATTGGCGAAACAAAACAACCTCTCCACAGACGCATGGCCCAACACAGAAGAGCGGCCGCCTCTGGACAAGACTCCGCAGTACACCTACACCTTATGGACAAAGGACATTCTTTTGAGGACCAGAATGTCCATATTCTGGATAAAGAAAATAGGTGGTTTGAGAGGGGCGTGAAGGAAGCCATCTATGTTAAGAAAGAAAAACCAACTTTAAACAGAGGTGGTGGACTCAGATTCCAGCTTCCAAAAACATACAATTCAATCATAGACATGATCCCTTCCAGATATCACCAAACCCCCCACCCCATCACAGAGGAACGAGGGACCTACCCGCCCCAGCCGGTGAACAATACCTCCTTAACGACCAACCCTTAACAATCATAGACAGGTTTCAGGTATTACAGGAGACAATCCCCCCCTTAATGGCAATCCCCCCTTTAACGACCGACCCCTAGAATCATAGACAGGTTCAGATATTGCAGGCTAACGATGGAACTAACGACCCATTCATCGGTTACCATTGCATGTTTCCAAACGATACAAGGCGTTGTCTATATAAGACTCAAACTCACTGCGGATCCAGACATTTGAATTGAGAAAGCTTCCTGGAGAGGAGGCGAAACGTCTTCAAATCTTGAAAACCAAGTCCAGTGGATTTTTTGAATTTTTACGGAATGACTATGACCTGGATGACTGAGAACCTTCATCAGCACTTGTATTAGCTAAACCTTTCATCTGCTCTCAACTGTTAAAAATTCACTTACCAGGCAAGAGAAGGTGGTCTGTGATTGTTCTGATAAGGTTTCCATCGCAGTCTCTGATGGTGAAAATGTTTTCCACAAAATCAAAGTTCTGAAGGGTGAAATAAACTCGTTGGAGACCAGAGTTTTCCACGCTTAACAGCACAGAGCTCTGTTTAAGAGAGAACATTTCACAGGACTTAGAGCATTAGTGACAGAAAAAATGGATACCAATGTGAAAAGAAATTTGCTCTGATCAATAATTATATGGAGAGCAATAAAAATAAACTGCAACATTTCATTGTAATGCAAATAAAAATCTAGATGTTTAGCTTGAATTGAGAGACTGCTTGTCTTCCCAAAATAATCCAAAAGGATTATTGACCTATATTCAAATCTTATTGGGAGGATTAAACCTTACAAAAAAAAGAAAGAAGAAAAAAAAAAGTTGCCCTAATGATTGGAAAAGTTACTCAGTTTGGTCTCACCTCCTTTTCAGCCACTGTGAGTGAAATCTTTGCATCATTTAGAGAGTGGTCTGAAGTTACTCTGACTGCGTACTTTTTGAAGATTGTTTCATCCCTGTTGAGATAGCAGGTTAAATAAGACTTCTGACCCATTATGCTTCCACTATTCTCTCAAAGACATCCATTATCTGACAAGCATATCTTTTTGTTCGTAATGTAAATGCTTCTATTCCTTGATGGGTGAGAAACAGATGCTTTAAGGATTTGCTGCACTAAGGCGACATATTCCTTTATGCCACCAAAAATCCCCCTTTTATTGCCCAGTAAAGCCTATAAACAGAACAAAAATAATCATTTTATTATACAAACAAATAAATTGTTTTCTCCCACAGCTTTTGTTGACATGGACAATGTCAGACAACTGTAAGCACTTCATTATATTGATCATATAATTGATACATATAATTTTATCCAACTATATGTCTCAGGAGATAGCACTGAGTAAATGATAGAGAGGAAATAACTCAATATAACATGACTAAAAATATTTTTAGGAAGGTGCAATCCATATATCTATTCTTGGACACAATGAACAACAATTTGAAAAATGCATTGATTTATGAGGAAGAAGAATATTTACACAAATAATTATGACTACCAAAAAAAAAAAAAAAAACCCTTTGCATTATTCCTGTAACCCATCTGCGAAAACTAATAAAAAAGAAGTTTTCCTCCTCCAACACTTTAAGGCAGGGGATTTAAGTCTACTGTCCTGCAGGTTTTAGATGCAGTCCTGCTCCATCACAGCTGAATCAAATGAACGTCTCATTACCAAGCTTTTCCAAAACTTGATATCATGTTTAGATGTTAATTCAGTGATTGGAATTAGGCTACAGGACAGTAGATCTTGAGGACAAGGGTTCGACCACTTTTATGTATTCCTTATTTAAACTGATTACCCTTTTTTCTTGTATTGATGAAATAACTTTGCCATCTTCTTATGAAGTCCAATGTTCCCCTGGGGTTGCATTGCCATCTGTCCTTTAGTGAAGGAGATTTCCAGGTTCTGGCCACCAGATGCTCCCTCTCCTGTCTGTGCCGCATAGATCATTTGTTGATCCCAAGCTTCATCCATTTTATTCTGATCAAACACTATAAAAAGGGAGAAATATTATACTGAGTGCATTACTCATCTTAAAAGGCATATGTCTTTTATATGTGTGGCATTTCAGTAAGTAAAAATCTTCCAAAGTGAAAATTGTTTTAAGAAACTTGTAGAATGCTGAAAGGTATAGTGGATGATGTTCTTTTACTGGGTGGATCATCAAAATAAGTGGTCTTCCAAATTGATATTCTGATGATGTCTCTGACATAGTAGGACATAGTAGAAAATTTGTAAATCTTCTTTTGGAAAGTAAGCTTGTATGAGCAGAGCAAACTTTTAAAAAGAGTGTGCACGAGGAGAAATGGGCATGTGCACGTCCTCGCACGCGTTTAATAGACATTCCCTCTTGGGAGCGGGTACAGGGTTGTGCATGTACATTTTTTGAAGTAGAGAGGGTGGGTCTTTTAAAGAAAATCACAAAAATCTTCCATTGTACAGTACCTTTAAGCTATATAGATTTATTATTTTATTTTATTTTTTTAGACTTATGATTTTTCTCAAGCTACCATTAATCCAGATAAACATATTCAAACAAATGCATAACTGTCCTTTCTTGTACGGTACAAAAAAGGTAACTTTTGTGCATTTTACAAATGAACTGTGTAGTTTAGGTAACATGATGATTTACAAGAATTAGACATGCTTGTTAAAGTCATAAGAAAGTCATATTTAAATGTAATTCAATGTCAATAATTCTGGCTTAAACATGTATATAAGTATAGTTTTAATCAGACAGATATAGAAAATAGAAATAGAAAATTTCTAATTTTGTGTTAACCCACAGGTTAATACTGGTCTGCAATAAAAAAAAATGAATATGCCCCCTCAATTGAATTAATTAATAAATAAAAGCAGAGCCCTCAAATGTTTGGAAAATGTGATTTTTATAAAAAGTTGGAAAAAAAACAGTCCCAACAGTTACTATAGTCATTGAGCCCAAAAGGCTTATTTTAAATCAAAATGGTTTCCAAGAAGCCTAGAAAATAAATTGATATAAAAGGATTTCTTAAAAAATGTTAAGCTTTTGTTTCTCATAATATTGCATTACACTTATTAAACATAAAATAAGAGATATATCAAACACATATCACATTAACAGAATGTTCAAAGTTGTATTGGCATTCTTTTCACTAGGTTTACAACCTTTTCACAACAATATTAGTAAAATTAAACATACCTGGTATGATCTCCCTGAAATAAATGCTTCTTGGTTTGTTTTCAGTTGCAAATGTCAGTTAATGTTCAAGTTGCAATATTATTTTGTTTCTGTCTAATATCAAAAATCAAGTATCTTAGCAACAGCAACTCTAATTCACTGTTTTTATTTATTATTCCAGAATGTTTTAACTCCAGGGTGTTGCTCCTTTTTTTGTTTTGTTTTAAATCAATTGCTTATATTTTTATCCACATTGCTCTTCTAAATTGATTCATATTGTGGTTCTAGTTTGTTGTTATTTGTAACCATGTTATTAAACATTACAACAAAAGAGTTGTTTACATGCAGAAGCAGGTGTCCAAAGCGGGGCTGCTAGAGGATACTAGCCTGAGTTGAAAGCATCACAGTATAATCAGAAAAGCAGAGCAGAAATAAAAAACAAAAACATTTTATGCTTTGATTGAGGATTAAAGTGCATTTTTACTACTAAAAAGAACAAATATAAAGACATATATACATTATATTGCAACTACCACTTTAAACCACCATGTTTTTCAAGATATTTCATTTGAAGTATCTTTAGCATCCCTCTTGCAAACATACTATACTAAGAAAAAATATATTCATATGTTTGTCTGCCCCTTATCTACTCTTTTAAAGAAGCAGCAGCACTGGAAAAGAATGAAGCCCCTTAATTAAACGTATCTCCAATTATAAGCTGTAAATGTCAGTGGAATGGAAAAGTTGTTTGAGATAAAGAGCTAAACTTTTGCAGCAGTCGTACAGTATACCCAAAAAGTATGTGGCAGAGTGAACTGTGGTAAATAATACTGTCAAATCAATCCAAGAGAATACAAAAATTGTCTTTTGTTTCTTGTATAGTTTAGTTACATATACTTTTAGAGTTATTTAATGTACATTTTCTAACTCCACCAAAAAGTGTTTAAGCAGCAAAAATAATAAAGGAAAACTTTTGCAATATACCAAATGCCAAAAAGGCAACAACAACAACAAAAAAAAAAAGAAGAAATAAATAAATAAAAAAGGTTTGCTCTCCATCTGCAGACAAATTGCCCTTACTCCACTTTTGCTTCACTGCACATTCAGCCAAGCTTTTATCACAGCAGGGCGTGTGCAGGGTGGGGGAGAGACACAGGTGCAGCCATTAAAACAAATTTGATGTGTACAAAGCCGCAAGCTCTTATTATAGCAACGATTGATAATGCTCGGTCAAGAAATCATTGATTAAAGCTATAAATGTACTGGTATTCTTTAACGCTATCTGATGTGTCTGCTGCAGTTTATGCAGCAGAAACAGTTCATGGGGTTTGTTTTGTTGTTTCACAGAGCTAAGAACAAGTTCGTGTCTGTTTGTTCTTTCAGTCTTAAACAATACTAGAGATAAGAAACATTCAGAGCCCAACAGTAATCCGTTTTTATCTGCATAAAAAAACAGATGAAAGCTTCTGAAATGTTTCTTTTATAAATTATAGAAGCATCCCTTTAAGGCTTTTGTTTCTTGTTAGTGTTTATCATTTAGAAAAACACCAATCATTTCTCAATGTTTTTATTTTATCCGCCATGTTTTTCAGATTAGATACATTTTTTAATTTAGATTCTTCATGTCCAGGTCGAAAAAATAACTTTATTTTTAGATCGACAGACACTAAAATGCATCTTTTGCATTGTTATTTTTTTTTTTTTTTGAAAGCCTTATAATTACACCAAGCAAAGATTCTCTGTCCTCTCAGTCTGATTTATTTTTATATTAAACTGCTTTTTAAATGCCATATTATGAGCTTGTAATTAATTAACAAATTAAAATGTAAATGTGTCTGAAGTAAATCACAAATTTATCACAACTGCATATAGGTTCATTTTCTGCTTTTTCAGACACAAACAGATCATTTCCATGTTCTAAACCTTTCAGTTTTCAATCAATGCAAATCCATAGTAACTCAGCTTGCCTTGTATTTTCACACCTACACCCACAGTAGATTTACAGCAATGGCATTTAGTGTTTTCTAGGTTGAGTACATTTTGTGACCACTAGAGGTTGCTTGAACATTACTAAAAAAGGGTTCTTTCACATTTGTTCAGTTTCCATTTTTTATTTTATTTTTTTAATCAACAAATTGTACTCTTTAAAATGTTCTTAAGTAATTTATTCAAATGTGAGTCATGATCTGCTTTTCTGGACTTTTTGGGTCTGTTTAAAGTTTTCATTTTGGTTTCTCAAGTATGCTTTATTTTATTTTATTTTGTAATGTCAAGATTTATATCATTTTTGAATTTTTAGTTTTACTTGTCCTTGTTATCTCTTTTCAGCATTTTTGGTACTTATGTATTCCTTGGTCTAGTTTTAGTTATAGTTATTCCTTCTCTTATTCCTAGCTTATGTTTATCTCCAGTCCCTTCTCTTCTAGTTTTTTTCCTTAGTCATTCTTTATTTTCAAGTCAATGGTCTTATTTTTCTTTTGCTTAAGCTATGTTTACTCCTTGTTGCCCCTCTCCTTTCCCCTTAGCTGCTTCTGTCCACACCTGCTCCCAATTAGCTGATCATGCCACTCTTTGTTCTCTCTCCCATATACAGGTGCTGGTCATAAAATTAGAATATCATGAAAAAGTAGATTGATTTCAGTAATTCCATTTAAAAAGTGAAACTTGTATATTATATTCATACATTACATACAAACTCATATATTTAAGATGTTTATTTTGTTTAATTTTGATGATTACAAATGACAACAAATGAAAATCTCAAATTCATCATATCAGAAAATTAGAATATTAC